CATAAAAGGCATTTGGTTACTGAAAATCAGCAAGTAAGACCATATGTCATATCATAGAACATGTCTCAACAAATTCAGAAGACAAGCAGTCACCCTACGTATGTACTCTGAGCACAATGGAATTAAATTAGAAATCAATCCCCAAACTCTCAATGATTCCGAAATACTTGGAAATGGAATACATTTTCTAAATAATCCTTCCTACAAAGACCAAACTGGAAAAGAAAATTCAAATGACCAACCATGAATGAACAGATAGGGGAAACTGTGGCCTGTACACCTAGACAACAAAACTACTTGTCACATGATGCACAATAATATTTGGGTTGATGACAAACAGATCATGTACATAACGGTGGCCCCATAAGATGAGAACACGTAATGATAAGGCCATCTCAGGTTGTAGAAGCACACTCCTTAATGAACAACAATGAAACCCTCTAGCAATGCATTTCTCCAGTGTGAATCCACCCCTAAGCAAATGCGTGACTGTGTTCATTAATTAGAAGGATGAACTACTGATACCTCCAAACATGGATGATTCCGGAAAAGATTATGCGGAGTGAAAGCCAGATTTCCCCCCAGGTTAAAAAAAAAAAAAAAAAAAGAGTACGTCCTGTAAGTTTCCATATATGTGAAACTGTAGGCAAACTGTAGTGCAAACTACTCCACGGTAACATAAAGCAGATGAGTGTTGGCCAGGGGATGACAATCGAGGAATTAAAAAGGACACTGGGAAGTATTGGGAGTGAGGCATATTGTCCATGTTCGGAATTTTGGTGATCAATTCATGGGTACATACGTCGGTCAGAACTTATTAAACTGTATACTTTAAATCACAAGCACTTTATTGTGTGACTATATACCTCAATAACTTTTTAAAAAAATTTTCACTAGAAATACTTATTTCCTTGATTACAACTGTCATTAATACACAACAGGTTGAATGTGGGGTACTCTATAATCCTAGGACTGAGTTCCCCACCCTTGGAGAGTTTGGGGAGTGATTAAAAAACAGGTAAAATCCTGGGAAATTGTAAATTCTTTAAGGAGTAAGCAGAATGCACACTCTTGAAAGCAAATTAACTGTACAAACTACCCGGGCTTTTCAAGTACTTTGGATGTCTCTGCAAGAACTTGGTGTGGTGATTATCACACACATATACCTGTACATCAAATCATCAAGTTGAACCCCTAGATGTGTACGATCAGAAAAAAAAGATGTTTAAAGAAGGAGATCATTCTTCTGGCAAAGAAGGAACATCGTGAGGTTGCGGCTTCCTCCAGTGCATCACAGTTAGACTTTCTGATGGTCTTCATCTATCTGAATAAAGCGTAGGCCTGGTGACCTCCTTCTTTTTTTTTTTTTCCAAAACCCATGTAATTTACCACACTAAAGGGATAAAAGAGGAGCATCCGCCCCATCATCTCAACACTAATTTACAATAAGAACTTCCAGTGATGTCTGGAGGAAGGCGACTTTGACCAAAAAAGAGCACCCAAGAAAACCACTTCAGCCAACAAGACCCCTGGACGGAAGTGCTGATGCTCACGGTGAGGAGAAACGGACGCCCATGACCGGGAGCCAGGGGCTGCATCGGCTGGTTTCCCCTGTTCAATACGGTGCTGAGGGGCCCTAACCGAGCAAGGTCAGAAAAAATAAGTGAACGAAGAGGGTGCAGACCGGAAAGAGAGAAGCAAAACTGACTCTTTTTTTAGCTTGGTGACCTCATCAAGTACAAAGAAGAGGCTAAGAAATCTACAAACTCCTATTAGAATAAGCAATTTCAGCCAAGGTGCAGGATGCCAATTCGATATACAAAAATTAACTGTTTATAGGTAAGAGCAACAAAAATTAGAAAATTAAATTTAAAAATCAGACTAGCATCAAAACCAAACAAACACCCCTCCACACACACATGAAATACTTAGTGATACCTTAATGAGACCCATGGAAGACATCTACCTGATGCACTGCAAAAAGACAGAAATCTTTGTGTTCAGACGGGGTAGGAACACCCAGGTACCTCTCTGCATGGCTGGAAACAAATCCTGACTGACACAGCTCACATCATTCACAAACGATCACTCCAAGTGGCTCACAGACCCACATGCAAAAGTTAGAACTGTCTAACGAGGATGCGTTCACCACCTTGAGGTGGGCAAGGCTACCCCTGAATTAGGTCCCAGAAAGCGCTAACTGTAGAAAAAAAATCGATCAATAGCCCTTGATCAAAATGACCAACACCTGTGCACCAGGAGGCACTGCACGAAAACCAACAGGCCCGGCAGACACTGGGGAACACAGCCTCGCCTCCTGTGTCTGACAAAGGACCTGGCCCGCAGGAATGTGCAGAGAGCTCCTACAGTTAACAGAAAGACAGTGGACTCACCCCCAAAATGGGCAAACGGCTTAAACAGACAACTTCCAAAGGAAAATGTACAAACAGACAATAAGCAAAAGCAAAGATGTTCAACACAGTTAGTCACCAAGGAAGGGCAAACCCCTTGTAGAAACCGATAGCCCCGGGCCACCTAACACCAGCAAGAACGCGCAGCCCGTGGGACTCCCAGATGTGGCTGGCGGGTGTGTGAGGGGCTGCGGCCATGCTGGAAAATGGCTCATGGGTTCTTATAAAGTTCTACGTACCCATGACCCACTAAGTCCACTCCTTAGCACTTCTCCAAGAGAAAAGGACACGTGCTCTCAGAAAGCTCCACACGACCATTTTCATTGTAGCTTTACTTCTAAGAGCCTAAAATTGGGAACAACCCAGGTGAACAGGAATTTCTGTACAATGGAATACTGACCCTCGTGAAAATGGATAAACGGACACATACGATAACATGTGCGGGTCTTTAAAACATTTTACTGAGCAAAAGCAGCAGACACAAAAAATACACGACTCCACTCATAAGAACACCCACGGCCAGCCTAGTTCCTTCTGCACCCTCTCCGTGACCAGGAGCTCAAGCCTTGGCCTGATCCCACCTGATGACACTGTCGCGTCTTGCCCCGACCTCCGCAGACCCTATCAGCATGCAAATCTCCTTGTCATGGTCCCTCAGAATGACTGTCTCTTAGAGAACCAATCCTGCTGAATCGAGCCTACACCTCTCATGCTGTATTTGAAACACAGATGTAGCTAGAGTCCTCACACTCCAGCAAGGAACAGGGGCTCACTCGATAGACACAGAAAAATAAATAGGATCTAGGACAGAAAGAAAAAGAAATAAGAAACAGGAAAAAGAAGACGGCCCTTTAGAAGTGAAGCATGAGGACGTTCGGGAAGAAGCGTAGGGTGTAAGCTCTGCGTCCCCTTCTTACTGCACGTCCACCATGCAGCGTGGGACCGCCGAGCGATCGAGCGTGGGCCTGGAGTGCAGGCAGGTTCAAAGCCAAGCTCCTTGACCTCACTCAACTCGATATGTGAAAAAAAGAAGCAGCGCTGAAGATATCACCCCAGGGTGACAGCGAGTGCAGGTGGCCTCATACCTACCCTCACGCCAGTGCATTCTGGGGCACACCCTCTGACACCAGGAAGTCACTGCTTCACTGGACAGCCCAGGGAACAGCTGCCCACAAACAGCCCTGACATCTGCGTACCAGCACCAGGGGTCAATCAAATGGCTGGGTTGGTGCCCACCCGGTAGGAACTCTACGTTCTCTCCCTACACATGACCTGGCTATGTGGTGGGCACCGGGGCCACGCAGGTGTCTGCTGGAGGTGCTGGAAATCTCCACCCTGGGCTGCAAGGCCCTGAGAATTCCCACGGATGGGAAACTTGGGACCCGAGAAGGGAACAGCCGTCAACATCACGCAGTGGTCAAGGGTCAGGCCAGTGCCGGACATCAGGACTGAAGCTCTTGCCCCTAGGGACAAGCTTCACCTCCACCACTCTGCCAGCAGGGGACAGCTGCCAGGAAGCTGCCTACAACGTCCTCCGCCCCCACCCAGCACCTTCCAGAGGCCCCTGCTTTGCTGCTCTTCACAGGGCCCAAAGGGTCTGGGGTCTCCCAGACTGTGAGGGGCTTGAACCCCAGGGACCCTTGAGAACGCTTCCCTTAGCCTCCTGACTTGAGTCTTCCCATCCATCCAGTGGGGTGGGATCCCCACGGCTCTGCCACGGATTCCCAACACCTGGCCCGGCTGTCCTGAGATGCCCGGAGCTGCCCCAGAAGCCCTGCCCATCAGAGCTTAGGTTTCTCCTCCTCTGCAGGAGGGGTGAGGACCGAGGGCTCCCTACCTCACAGATTGGGGTAGAGGACCGAGGGGTCTCCTACCACACAGACTTGGAACGGAGCCCCTCCGACATGCGGAAGGGGTGTTGGGAAATCTGCAAGTGGGCCGACAGGCATCATAGGGAGAATGGAAGGAGAATGGACACCTGTGTCCTTGCGGGGAGGGGACTTGGGGCCTGTCTTTGCCAGGCGTGGAGTGAGGGACTGTGCGTCAGAGACAAGAGGGGAGCTACCACTTCCCCAGCAAGCCTCTACACTCAGGGCCCCCAATTTCCTGCTCAGTGCTTCCTCCCCCTTGTTGGCCCTGCACAAGGCAGAGAGGTGGCTGTCTGTCCTGGTCAGCCACGCCCCTAAGCTGGGCCAGTCCCTGCATCTGCTCAGACACTGAGGCATCACGGAATGCTGGCTCTGGGCTAGGAACCAGGAACCTCATGATCTGGATGTATTCAAGGAGGTGGGGACAAGGCCATTGCAAGACTTGGACAAATGACACCCATCTTCCTAACTACAAGTCTACATGGGCCCTAGACCTCTGAGACCATCACGGGAGGGGTCTGACCCTGCCGGATGAAGATGGGGCCTGCCGAGCTACGCTAGCCCCTGTGGTCAGGTGGCCCCGGAACAGATCCAGCCACATCCAGCGACCACAGCTGACTCCCAGGCTCTCCCCCTTCCCTGGCAGAGCTTGACCCTGGCCAAGGGCTGGCCCTGCTGCCCCACCCTGCCCTCCCCACCCCCCACGGGAGAAGGTACTCACTGATGGGGGCGTGTAAGGCCACGTGCTCCTGGTAGGGCGTGTAGTATTTGTACTGCTTCCCGCAGAATTCACAGGTGTAATTCCCAGTTTCTGTCCAAGGAGGAGAGGACCTGTGAGAACGGGCACCCGGCCCCTCCCAGAAACATCAGCATCCCCACCCAACTCCTCCTCCTTCTGGGACCACCAGCTGGAATCCACCCTAACTCTGGAGTCAGAAGGCCTGGGTTCAAATCCCAGCTCAGCCATTTTGAGCTGTGTACCCTCAGATAAGTCTCCAAACCCCTCTCTGTGCCTCACTTTTCCTAACTGTAAAATGGAGTTAATGGTAGGCCACCTTATAGGATTGCTGTGAGGATTAAATGTGTCTGTCAAGTGCTTAGAACAGTACCTGGCACATGCTGTCCTCCTCCATGGCTCCACCCAAGCCCACCCCGGCCGTGACCCCAGCTGGCCTCCAATGTCACTCTCTCCACCAGTCCTCTGTAAGCCCTGCCCTCTGCAGGGGCCACACCCAGGGTCCCGCCTCTCGGGGGACCTTCCCTGTCCCCAGGCACCCCCCTCCCACGGGCAGCAAGGTCAGTTCTTCCTCTCAGGCCCCACTAGACTTTATCTTTACCTCTCTTTTGGCTTTGCCTAACTTCTTTCTTCTTAAAAATGTCTGATGTAATATTGTTCACTGGGGGAAAATTATAAAATACTGATAAATACAAGCACAAATTTTTAAAAATAAAGAGAAATTTCAATCACCTGTAATCCCCAAACAGAGAGCCTCTACCCCCTGGAAGCAGAGAGGAACCTGTCCTCTGGCCCCCGACCCCACCCTGCACTCTGCTCCTCTGGGGCATGCTTCTCTCTTGATATCATTTGTCTGGCTCCTGTGGCCTTGAATTAGCCGGCCCTGATCAATATCCTCTTTGTAACCTAGTGTATTCAATCGACAATCCTTTGTGGACATCTTGCCCAGTCAATAAGTATCGATCTCTGCAGCTGTTATTGGCTGCACGGCTCCCACGGGACTTTGGAATTCGCTGAGCCAGTCCCCTCCACCAAGGGACATTCAAAGCGTTTCAAAAAAATTTCCCCCTTATTTAAAAACAAACAAAAAAAAAAAACCCAAAACAAAAAATGCTGTGACCACATCCTTACAGAAAGTTTTGCACATTTGCTTGTTAGTTTTGCAAGTGATTGCAAAATACAGGTCACGACACAGAATCTCCCTGTTATTTCCTCAGGGTGTATTACAAGAGGTGGGGAAAGGGTTTGCATTTTTAAGGCTCTGGGTAAGCACAGCACCCCCACACCACCCAGAAGGCACGAGAAGGACTGTTTCTGTACTCTGCAGCTGGCGCTGGGTATGGTCCTCTGCCTGCATCTGGCAGATCTAGCAGGGAGAACTCTACAGCACGACTGGCGTATTTTCCATTTCTTTGATTTCTAACAAGATTGATTATTTTCATGTTTAATTAACTACAGTTTTTCTTTTGTGAATTTCCTCTCTCGTTTATGGCCAGTGCTTCGATAGGTCTATCTGCCTTTTTTTTTTAAATCAATAAACTCTGTAGGTTATGGATATCAACATTTTGTTATATATGTTACAAGTCTTTTTTCTTAACTGGTTTCTTGGTCTGTTTTTAGTTTTTTTCCACTCCCAGTACAGAGAGATTCAGAATTTTTGTTAAATAATCTCTGTAACTGACTCATGAACGCTGGCAAAGACATGTATTTTACCTGCTGTTTATGGGCTTCAAAGTAATCAACTGTATTCATTCTATTATTCAATACATAATCTTGTTTGTCTAGTTGCTCTTGCAAAGATAAAATGTGGTGATAAATCCTCCCATTTCATTGCATTTCTAAATTTACTATGTATATTTAGACACAATGTTATTTGATACATAAGGGTTACGGGATAAAAATCTTCATGATGAACTGTATCATGTGTATCCTTCATGAACATGAAACCATCTTCTAATACAGGTCTCCAAGTGCAGCCTCTGGACTAGCAATGTCAGCACTCCTGGGAACCTCATAAATGCCAATTCTCCCTACTTGCCCCCGAGATCCACTGAAAGAAAATTCTAGGTGTGGAGCCAACTGATGTGTGTTGGAACAAGAATATTCCAATGCCTGGGGAAGGTGAAGAATTGCTGCTCTAACATTTGAACTGTTTTATTAGCCTGGCGTTAATGTCAGCTTCTTGGTAATTTGTTGGTTTCTGCTACCTATTTGTCTGCATGCACCTACAGACCCGGTCCTTGCACTTTGACTGACTGGACTGTGCTAAGTGCCAACACAAAATCCTAAGCCAAAACAGGCACGATTCCTGTCTTCCAGGAGTTTTGGTCAGGAAGCTGAGACGGAAAAACCAAGTAGCCACACAAACAAATTTAAAACTGCAACATGACAGATGCTCTGAGGAAACCTACAAAGTGTTGCGAAAACCCATGAGGGGGGTTTAAATCTCTTTAAGGACGCAGGAAATGGCACCTCGGAAAGAGCATGGCTCAGGGTAAAAGATAAGGAATCAACCACGTATATCTCTAATAAACTGTTAGTAATTGGATTATTTTAGATTAACCTGACAATTTTTGGCTTCTAAAAGAGGAGATGATGCCATTTGCTTTTACTGCTCTCGTTGATTTGGTTTTACAAACTGAGCATCCCTAATCCCGAAATCCGAAATGCTCCAAGATCTGAAACTTGAGTGCTGACCAGATGCCACAAATAGAAAATTCCACGTCACAAAACTTTGGGTCGTGCACCAAATTATTTAAAATATTTTATAAGATCACCTTCAGCCTATATGCGTAAGGTGGTTAGGAAACAAAAAATGACTGATGTTTAGGCGTGGGCCCCATCCCAAGGTATGTCATTAAGTAGATGCAGATATTGCAAAGTCAGGGGAAACAATATCCCAAATCCAAAACACTTCTGGTCCCAAGCATTGCAATAATGACCCTTGTCATCTTTTCTCCTTTTCATGCACTTTCTGGTTTGTTCCGTTGGTTTCCAGGTGTTTGGTCTGTGAACTCCATGCTTTGCTTTAAGATTCCATTATTTTCCATAGACTTTTTAAGGTATATCTCTCTAATTGTCAAATTGGCAGGTGGAAAGTTAGATTTTTTAAGTCTGTCATCACACAGAAATACAGTTTAACTCGGGGGCTTCTCAACTTGGGCTCACTTACACATCACCTGGAAAGACTCTTACACAGATCACGGGGCTCCACTGAGATTCGGATCTCAGGAATCCGTGTTAGGACCTAAGAATCCATCTTAAAGCAAGCTTCCAGTGTGGTATTCCTCGCTGAGCAGGAAAGGTTCAGCCTACTTTACTGCATCCCTGCTCCCCTCTCACCAGTTACAAAATTGAGCCCTTACCCGTGCTCTACGGCTTAGCTCCCTGGAACAGAGTTTCGAATAATTTTTTTAAGAAACGGTATGTTTCTGAGCCCTTGCTTTTTTATGTACTAATCATAATTGATTTAAAAATTCTCAGATTAATCCTCTCCCCCTTTTAAAACACATCTCTTCTCTTTCAGCACTTCATGCTGCACGGGTCTGAGGCAAGTGTACCTTGCCTTCGTATGTAGGTGACTGGCTTCCCCACGCCTGGATGCCGGCGGGGCATTTCCCTTTATAGCTGTTTTATTTAGGTAAAGGGCTCTACATTGACTCCACCTGACCCATGATGAGCAATTGGTAAATCTGCACATCCAGGTCTTCCTGCGCCTGAGCGACATTTTCTTTTATTAGATCTCGGAGTGCCGCCTCCGCCCCAGTGGTGTCCCTCCACCAGCTACCTGGATGGTCCCCTGCTGTCTGTATTCATCACGTGTTCCTTGTTACCCTCAGAATTTAACTATGTCCCTCTCCAGTTCCATTTCTTCAGGCTGATTCTGCCCTGGACACCCTGGCGAGCTGACACCCACCCAACATCCTCCTAAACAGTGGGGGTTTGCACTCTGATCTGACTGTCCTGCTGGCCAGGACCCTCCTCCTCTCACACCTTCCTCTTGCCCTTTTGCTTCTCTACCCTACAACTTGAGGCTCCTTTTTTTTTTCCTGCTATGGGCAGAAATGTGTCCCTCCTGTTGGGGTCAGATGAGGTTTTGAGGTGGGGAAGAAGCTCCAGATGTCCATTGGGACCTCTGGTCCTGCTTCTCTGCCCTGTGACGACACAGGGAAAAGCAGGCCATCTGCAAACCAGGAGGAGAGGGAGCCCGGTCACGCTGGCACCCTGACCTTGGACTTCCAGCCTCCAGAACCGTGAGAAATGAACTTCTGTGAAGCCACCAGGTCTAGGTCTGGTCTTCTGTTATGGCAGCCCAAGTGGCTAAGACAGGTCACGCTTCCTTATACTTGACTGAAGACATCAAAATTTTTTCATTTAGGTTTTGTGGAAGATCACTTTGAGAGAGACGCTCCTCCTTGGAGTCTCCTAAATTCTTTCTCTAGTGATGTGGGGTCCCACGCTTGCTTGTTTTCCAAGTGACTCTTCCTTATCCAGGCATAAAGGTGATGTAAGCCAGAAACGAATCCCACTTTACTGTTTTAATAGGCAACATGAACACACTGTCCAATCCTTCCTCTTCCCGGGATCACAGTGGTGACTCTCGGGTCTGCAGCTGAAGGGCGAGGTGACATCCACCCAACACCCTCCTAATTAAGCACGCGGCTGTCTCACTGCTCAGCCAGTGCCACAGGGAAGGCATGCTTGCTGCCAGGGTTGCTCCTCTCCCCTGGACCTGCAGAGCTTCACCTGGGGTAGCCAGGGTCTTCAGAATGCCCCAGTGCCTCCACTGGAGCCCGTGCCCTCTGCTTAGCTGTTTCTAGGTCCTGTGGCACTGGCACAGAAGCTGCAGAAGCTCTAGAAACAACACTCCTCTCCCAAGGAGGGTTCTGAGTGGCAGCAGGCGTCTGCCTCGCTCCATCACACAGAGCTGGCAGCTGGACCCAGTCTGATCGACCTGATGCAACTCCACACTCCTAATAACCTGTGGTAATTCCTCCCAGGTCCTAGCACGGGTTGTCTATCAGATACTTCCAGAAACACAGAACGAGTTTCCTCTTGCTTTGCATCTTCCTGGGGTTAACAGGTCCCGCTGATCTAATGCTTCCCGAGTAGGTATCAAGGACTGGGCTAATTCCCTTACTCATATCATCCCACCTAATCCCCAGGACAATCCTGGAAGGAGAGTCTTATTGTTATCACACCACGTTAGCTTAAAGAGACTGAAGGTCACACAGATTAAAAAACTCGCCGGACATCACACAGCTGGCAAATGGAGAGCATCTCTCAGTAACATGCCTCGTTTATCACCCCCAGCCCAAGCCAGGTGTGGGGCTGGACATTCTGTGTACACAACAGCCCTGGAGAACAGGTCAAATTTACAAGCGAGTCAAGGGACACTCAGAGGGGTAGGCACCCAAGGAAGGTGACACCAGCATCCATACCCAGGCCTGAGTCAAAGCCTGTCTTCAAAATAATGATGCCACAGCTGGAAGGGTGGGGCTTTGGGGACACAGTGGACAGTTGGGAGAGCATGGCACGCTGCCTCTGTCCTCATTCTGACATGGACGTCTGTCCTACCCACTGACTATGCTGGGAACCTGTATGGTTCAGATCTGTGTTTCCTCTGGGACATCTGACTTCCAGCCGCCCCGTCCACCAAGGGTTCACTATGCACGTGGCGGGCACTGTGCCATCCACTCTGCAGACATTATCTCCTCTGCAGTTTCCTAAATGCTTTAAGAAGAAAACCAAGAACCATCCTCTTACCAGGAAGAACAAGCCTCTGGGGGACCCAGCCTTCGCTGGGCTGCACCGGGCTCCCTCTGGGGGGCAAGCTGATGTTGGTGTTATGGCTCCTTTGATTTCTACCCACCTGGATTCCATCACCCCCTTGTTCTTTGTTTTGCAAATGCTCTTGGACACACCTCCCCAGGCTGGCCACCAGTCCCCTCCAGATCCCTCCTCCTCCTAGAAGCCACACTGGTCTTCCTGAAATGCAAACCTGGTCAAATTCCTCCCCACTTGGCAAAGGCTCTGCTCACTCCTGTGAGGAGGAACTCAGGGTGCCACCCTCTGCCCCGAGAGCCCTGAGACCTGAGCTCCTCACCAATTCTCCTTTCCTTTCTCAGAACCAGCGCCCCCTCCTGCCTTTGAGTGTGATGTGAGAGCTCATTCCCCACCCTGTCCCCAACCTGGATTCCCAAGGCTGGACTCCCCGGGCTCCCAGGCTCCTCTCTGGGTTGGGATTCTCTGCCTGGTTAACTACTTGTCTACTGCCCCTACCCCGACCCCCGTGTGAGTTACACATCTGTCCTGCTCACTGCTGTGTCCCCACAATGCTCAAGTCTAAGTCTGCTGGAAACAGGTCACAGGGGTGACTCCTGCCCTCAAGGGGGTTTATGGGAGTGGGACGGAGTGTCTGCAGGCAGCCGCCCGCACAGCCTCATCCACAGCTAAGCCCCTTCAAGTGACTAAGCTACCGTCTGAGCACCAACTATGTACCAGGCACTGTGCTGACAAGCAGCTTCTGTCCGTGATCTCATTTAATCCCCCAACAAGCCTGCAGGAGTGTCGTCCTCACCCACAGGAGGGGAGGCCGAGGTGCAGGATGGCTCAGACTGCGAGGACAACCGAGAGGTGGGTGGGAGAGCCCTGGCTCAGCCCGGGGCCTGGCCACCTGCACTGCCCTGACCTTGACCCTTTGCTGTCCCCAGCTCATGGAGAACTAATGTCCTGGGACTGCCCAGCCCAAGTGGTGACAGGTGGGCACTGTGGCTGCAGGGTGAGATGCCACCGCTCCAGTGACGGGCTGCAGCCCTGCCTCCCTCAGCCAGCCCCGCCCAGCCCCGGCCCCAGAGTCCCGCATACTTGGCCCAATTTTCTGGAATGGCTCTGGGGGCTCCTCCTTCACTTCATCAGTGGCCACAACACCTTGGTCGAAGGGGTCTGTGGGAGAACACACGGTCCTTAGCACCCTCGTCGTCCAGGTCTCGGGAGCCCAGAAGGGGACAGGGAAGGCAGGCAGCCACCAACGACTTACCTGCCCGATTCTCGGGGGCCCCTTCCACACTGAACACTGTGCCAGGGCAGGAGGCAGCAGCCACAGAGGGAAGGAAGCAGATGAGAGCCCTGTTAGTCCCTGCCCGTCACTGCCTCTGTCCACTGTCCCCTGCCCCCAGCCTCAGTTCAGGGGTTGCCCTTGGGGCCAGGAGTGCTTCCTGAGCCAGTGTGGAAGGCCAGAGAGCACTCAGTGCCACCCCCCTCCACTCCAGGCCAGACCTGGAACGCTTCTGGATCCACAGGGCTGGGGTTGGGGTGTTAGGGGTCCTCTGTCCCCTCCATGGGGGGGGCATGTCCCCAGGACAGCCTGCGCCTCCAGCTCCCTCCTTACCCCAGCAGGTGCCCACCCCCTGGGGCCTGCATATGCTTTCTGCCTGGACATGTTTTTGGGTCATCTATGTGCACTCAAGGGCCAGAGCAGGAGCAAAGGGGAAGAGACACGGAGGAGAAGAGAAGCCGAGCCGCGGCTCAGACAGGCCGCAGGCGGGACCGGAGTGGGAGGCCCCAGGTGCTCTCCAGGTCCACTACCGGTTCTCCAGGATTCTTAAGACTCTACAAATTAACTACCTAAATTTATTGTTCTAATTTCAAGCTCCATAATCTAAGATGCTAAAATGTCATCATTCACTTTTAAAAACTGGTTTAATTTCAGTAGAGCATGCAAATGCTCAATATAAAACAGAAAAATGACACGATATGAAATTTCAACATTCGACTGATTTTTGACCTGTAAAGATGGCGATTTCACTTGGCTTCACCTAACAGGAGCATACGTGGACAATGATGGGGACACTCTCTCCCCCAGGATCCTCCACGGTGGCTCACCCCCCTTGTGGTTCTGACTGCTGCCTGACCTTCCTTTGGGTGAGAGGAGGGTGTGGGCAGGGGCAGGGCTCACCATCCACGGCGTGCAGGTCCCGGTGCTCCTGGAAGCAGCTGTAGTACTTGTACTTCTTCCCGCAGATGTCACACGTGTACCTGAAGTTGTCTGCGAGGGCAGGAAAGATATGTGTTGGCCAGGGCTTCCGTCACCTGGGCTGGAGTTTCTGGCCAGTGCATGTGCCTCTGGACCCAAAGCTGGACGGCAGTTTGGAGAATCCACTCCAGAGCATTTGGGCCTTGGCACTGCAGCCTCTTCTGAACCTGGGAGGGCCATGGCCCAGCCTGGACATCGCTCAACAGAGCCCCTCCCATGTGCACATCAGGGCCACTCAGTGCCCCGCCCCCAGGCCAGACCTGTAACGCTTCTGGATCTACCGGGCTGGGGTTGGGGTGTTGGGGGTCTTCTGTGGAGGTGACCAGGGAGCCTGGAAACGACTCCCAGAGCCACCCTCTGTGGGCTCCTAACAGGTTTCACCTCCCGACACAGAAATTATGTGAATATAACAATCACTGCAGCTTCCACATGAATGGGGTGAGCACGTGCAAGGAGCCAGCCTTTCCCTGTGCTTCCTCGGTTAGTCTTTGCAACAGAGGAAGAAAGCAGTCTCCCGTTTCTGCTGGAGGAAACTGAGGACCAGAGGAGACCGACCCAAGGTCCACAGCTAGGAGTGTAGGTGGCTTCAGAGCTGGGGCCCAGTGACCCTCACTGGCTGGTGTCCATGGCCTGCACGACACCCCTGAATCTGGGCTGGACCTAGTGACCTGCCTATAGAATGCAGTGCAAGAGCCTCTGATGAGACTGAGGTCCCGGGGCCAACAGCTTGGGAAGCAGAGAATCCTGCTCATGACCACAGGAATGTGCTCCCTGCTGGTGGAGCCTCCAGATGAAACCTGGTAAAGCCCAGAATGCAGCCCCGTAAGAAAGAGCACCAGAACCAAAGGACCCAGTGAAGCCACGCTCAAACTCGTGGCCAAAGAAATTGGGAGACAACTGGGCCTAAGCAGACGCCAGGGCTGCAGAGATGAGCTGGTGCTTGTTGCTTTCAGTTATTAAGTTTTAGGGACATCTGCTACACAGAGGACCACACAGGCCCAAGTCTGGATGACGCCCAGGTCTACCTAAAGTCTGAGCTACACTCCCACAGGATGGATGATACCCTCCCTCTGCTGGCAACACCCACGTCTGCAGTAGCACAGATCTAAGGAGGCCCATCCATCCCATCTCCTTGGGGACCCCGGGCAGCGAGCAGTTCCACAGCTTGCTCATGGCTGCATGGAGGGAGGGGAGAGCCAGGATTCAAACGCTCACTCAACTCCAAGGCTGAGTTGGGGCACATGGCCCCTTCTCTGCCTAGATAAGCTGTTCCTTGTCCCTGAACTGAGGCACTTCCCTCTTGGCCTGCTCCAGCTCCTCAGCATTCCAACACAGGACCTGATGAGATCCTCATCCCAAGGCTGCACTACCCAGCAGTGCTGTGGAAGGCTTCTGACCCCCTTTTACCTGAACTTAGGGTCACAGATGACGCTGGCATCTCCCCTCCAGCCTCCACCCGTACCCCGCCCACAGCACTGGCAGACTCCCACAGGGCCTTAGCAGACACCAGGGCCGCAGAGATGAGCTGGCACCTAAGCGAGGGGCCTGCAGCCTCGGCACCTGTAGGTGTTCTGAGGATGGTGGGTACCAGAATCTTCCAAGGGCCAGATTGGTGGGGTATGGGGTGGTACTGAGAGATGCACTGTTTCCCAGGACCGTTCCCAGGCTGGTGAGTCCAGGATTCCAAGCCTGATTCAGGCTTCACTCACTTTCGGAGGCCAGCAATCCAGCTTAGGGAGCAACCTCCCCTGTCGCCTCCCATCTGGACCTTAAATCCAGTTTGCCCATCCCACCTGCACTCACTGGTGGACACCTGGGAACAGAGATGGAGTAGCTGAGGGGGCCTATTCCAGAAAGGCCTCCACCCAGAAATCCCTCTCAGGCCCAGTGCTGGCCGCCCTCCACGACTGGCTGGCCCCCTTCCCTCGTCTGCCCAGAAACTCTCCTGCCAGTGGCTGCCCCCGTCGCCACAGCCACAGTGGCCCCTCCTGTAAAATATGGGCTCCCAGCTTTCTGCACTGAGAGGTGCCCAGAAAGCCCTGTCCAGTCCCACACTATCATGTTTCCCCAACATGGAGGGGGACCTCATTCCCAACTCCTAATGGCGGGTAGATTAGGGCAAGAGTTCTTCCCAAGGACGACACAATGGTTTTTTGTTAGTGGAACCACATTTTCAGAGCTCACAGGGAGCCTGGCATCTCAGGACAGGCCCTGCAAATCCATGTGGGAGGCCAGCTCCAGGCTGAGGCCACCTGAGCTCAACCCCACCTGACCAGGCCCCTCGTCCCTGTGCCTCATCTGCAAAATGGGAATGGCGCTAATCCCTTCCTCCCCGGAGTGGTGACAAGGAATACACGAGCACCGTGCCAGACAGCCTGACAAACCGGGGGTATGTTACCCAATGCTGCTTCACAAAGAGAATCAATGTGACAGCAGCAACGTGGGGCCAACTGCCACCTTGTCAGGGGAGGCAGTGAGTGGATGTCTCTACGCCTCCTGGACTAGGAAGTGTGGGACCTGGAGTCCAGGCCACATCCACTGCTCCCAAGGTGCAGGACTTGTGCTCCTGAGGACTCGTGTCCTCACCTGGAAACAGGGCAGGATGGACGTGCTATTCTCTGCAGGACCCTTTCGGCTCCAAGACCCCATGGTGAGGCCCCTCCCAGGAGGCTGGTGTGGGAGCTGACCAAGGACTCTAAGCAGCACTGTGGGCCTGGGTCATGGCGCCCTGAACCATAAGCCTTGACCACCAGCAGGCCCGAGTGCTGCAGAAGCTAGCCAGCACACAGTGGAGGTGATGCTGGAGGCCAGGGCCCAGAACAGGTGAGGCCCAGAGCAGCTGAGGAAGGACAAACGGGGAAGCTTAAATATGTGGTGACCACGGGAGATCCATGGGAAAAGAAGGGAGCCACTGAGGGAGGCAGGAGTCAGGCCAGGCTGGGGGAGGGCTGGGCTGGGCCTCCACCCAGCTCCAGGTATCCAGCCAACCTGCCTGTGGAGTGCAGAGGAATCCAGAGTGGACGGGCCGAGCCTCAGAGACCTGCTGTTAAGACCCAGCCCCACCAGGGCCCTCCTTGAGCCCTGCGTGCCTCAGAGCACCTCTGCCAGCTTTGTTCGGGTTCATTTAGGTTTTGGTAATGTTAATAAACATGAGGAACGGGGATGGGCACACTGTGGGACCCAGGCCAGGTCCTGCCTTGTCCCCTGGTTAAGGACTCAGCTGCAGACCGTCCCTGACAGAGTTCCTGCTACAAAGGCAGGGCTGAGTGTCTGTGTGGAGACGCTGGGCCTCTGCGGCCTGAGCTGCTCAGCACCTGGCCCTCTCCAGAAAGTCATCCTGACCCCCGCTGCAGGAAAGTGCACGGATCGTAAGCAAACATGGTCACTCCTGCGTGGCTGGCCTCTGGCTCAGAGGCCGAGGACCACCACCTCCCCACCCCACCGGTGGTCCCTCTCTTGACTCAACCAGCTCCGCTGTCCCCCGTGGCTCTGCTTTCTGTGGCCTCAGCCTCTTCTCTGCCCCGCCTCTCCTACTCCATGCTACTGCATGGCAGCAGGGGAACATGCTGGCTGATCACTCAGCCAGCCCCGGGCATCTGGGTGGCCTCTGGTTTGGAGCTGTTAGTGCACCAAGAATATGCGACTTTACATCTTTGATGAACATGCGCAGACATTTCTTTTTTTTTTTTTCAGTTGTTGATAGACCTTTATTTTATTCACTTATTGATATGCGGTGCTGGGAATCACACCCAGTGCCTCACACAGGCCAGGTAAGTGCTCTATCGCTGAGCCCCAGCCCAGCCCAGACACTGCCTTTGGATATTCACTTAAGGGAGGAACTGCAGGCTCTGGAAGCTCAGTGAGGGGTGAACACCCCAGTCTACACCCAGCTGGTTGGCTGATGACCAGACCCACAGGGTGTGGGGCAGGCAGAAGCCCAAGTGGGTCTGGGCCTGCATAGCAAAGCAAATGTCAAGGCCCCATGTGGCCCCAGGTGCTGGGATATGGCACCTTGGGGCAAAGACCAATAAGCAATTATGACCACGGCTGCTGTGCTCACGAGAAACCCCAGAACAGCATTTCTCCAAGGTCAGCTCCACCACCCCAGACACGTAAGTCAGTGCCCAAAGAACCTGGGACGCTCCAGGTGGCCTGGGCTGCTTCTGTCCAGGCACCTTGTCCACATGCTTGCTCATCCAATTACAGCTCAAGGATTCCCAAAGTTATTTGGCCAGAGAACCCCTCATGGACAGAACACCTGTTAACCTCCCCAGAACGGAGCTGCCAGGACCCCCTCTGGCTTCTCTGAGGCACCAAGTTCTGTCTCCATATAAGGACCCTCTGGCTCCAGAGGCTGCACCCCTGCTATGTGTGTCTCAGAAGCAAATTTGGGGGCGCCCTGAGGGATGAAGTGAACAGCCCCCTCTTCCTCCCACAGCCCAACCACGAGGAGCGGGGTACTCACTGCTTTGGGAGGCTCCCTCCCCTGAGGTGGCTTCGGTGTCTGTGGGAGAGAGTGAGAGTGGGAAGGAGGTGAGCTGGGAGAAGGCCACGGGGACAGTGAGGGGAGGTGGAGCAGCTGGCAGAGAGGGGCCCGGAGCACTGTGCTGCGGCCTTCTGTGACCCTGACACCAACCAGCCCTGAGTCTGCAGCTTGCTCCCCGCTGCCAGGCTCGGGGCAGGCAGGTGCCGCCCTCCTGGCCCTCAGCTTCAGAATGGGCAGCAGCCACTGGCCCACTCCTCGCTGTCACCAGAACACACAGAAGGACACGAGCACCTGCCCTGCAGGGTGGCCGACAGCACACAGAGCTGAGCGTCCCGGGAGGCACGAAGCCCAGCTGGAGGGGCAGGGAGCCCTGGAGGCAGAGGCTGGGCAGCCTGCCCTGCGGTGCCCCTCGGCTCATGTGTACCCCACACTAAGGAGGCCTCGCTCAGCGCCTTGGCCTTCCCCCATGGCAGAAAGAAAAGCCAGAGCTGGAAAAGCTGGCAGCTCTCTGGGGACACCCATGGAACCCAAGTGGGAAAGTGGGCAGAGAACAGACAGGGGTGGCCTGGGACCCGCTCACCTCGGTGCGCCCGCACGTGGGTCTGGAAGCAGTTGTAATACTTGTACTTCTTGCCACAGATCCCACACTCGTAGGACCCTGGAAAACAGAAGAGGAGAGAGGGGACCCGTCAGCCGCCCTGCAATCCACAGGGGCCCAGGACCCGTGGGTGATGCCACCAGGCACTGCTAACTGTGTCTCAGGGCAGGGAAGTTTCCTAGCAAGCAAAGAGGGGCATGGACCAGCAGAGATGGCCCCGGGTCCTGGCCCGGGTTTGTCTCCAGCTTTGTGCGTGACCTTGGGGAAGGTGCCACCATTTCTGGGCCTCAGCTTCCCAATCGGAAAGACAGAGAGGAGGCGTCCTGGGCTCCCTCTGCCGACACCTGGGGAGGAAGGTGCAGGGGAATGTGGGGTGCTCTGAGAGGAGTAACTGCACCTCCAGGAAATCCTTCCCCAAATGCATCTGGTCGTTTCTGGCTACCCCTTTTCCAGGATGGGAGAGAGGTTAGGAGGACAGACTTCAAAATTAGGAGGTGCCTCAGTCCTTGTCCCTCCTCTGCCTTTTGCCAGCAGCAGCATCTTGTTTTGGGGGGTACCGGGGACTGAACTCAGGGGCACTCAGCCACTGAGCCACATCCTTAGCCCTATTTGTATTTTATTTAGAGACAGGGTCTCTCTCACTGAGTTGCTTAGTGCTTCGCTGTTGCTGAGGCTAGCTTTGAACTCGTGATCCTCCTGCCTCAGCCTCCTGAGCTGCAGGATTACAGGCATGCGCCACGGCACCTGGCTAACAGCAGCATCTCAATCCCTCAGGTACATCAAGCTCTTTCTGTTCATTGCAGACCTCCGGGGGCTCTGCACTGCCCCAGGGCAGATCTTGGGCCCTGCCACAGATCTGCTTGGCAAGGAGAGCACCCCACACCTGCAGAGGAATGACAGTGCACCCTCAAACTCAGAGACCAACATAGTGCAAACGCCTGACTCCGGTCCCCAGTGGGCCTTCCTCCAAGAGCAGACGGACTGAAATAGCTGAACTCCCCAGAGAGCGCTTCAGATAGGTGAAGCTTCAGATAGATGGCGTGGGGTTTAGGTCCATGGCAGGAAGGCAGGCAGAGCCCATGGGACACAGCCTGGCAGGGCCCCTAGGAGCAGAGACTCTGACCCTCCCCTCCCCACCCACCAGGCCCTCACGCAGCCTGGATGTCGCCTGCGCCCAGACCCTGCTCTTCCCAATCCAACAGCCAGGGAGCACCTCCGGGCACAGAGGCCCTGGACCAGTCTCGGTGCTCTAGAAAGGCTGGGGCAGGACTAGGAATCTGCCTTTTCCAAAAAGGTCCCAGGGGATTCTGGTGCCCCATAGCCAGGTATGGGGACACTGGCTTTAGGCAAGGCCTGGGACGGAGCTCAGCCTCATAATTCCAGCTGTGCCTCAGTTTCCTCGCTGGAAAACCAGGGAATGCAAGAGGTCAAGGTCAAGACTGAATCAGCGTGAACTGTGCTCTCATCCCAACCCCGGACATCTGCTGAGGCACCAACCACCACTCTTTGCCGTGCCTGGAAGCTAAGGCTCTGTCCCTGGATGTGGGCTCGAGGAGTCAGAGTCAGCAGGAGAACGCTGGGTGGTCAGTGTGACTGCTGGCTCGGCACTGGCACCCCTCGGCTGCCTGACCTCACACACATCCCTTCACCTGCCTGAGCCTCGATTTTCCCACCTATAAAAGGATTACGCTTTCCACTCCTGATCGCCACTCCCCGCGAGTGAGGTCAGTCCCATGAGCCAGCGCACAGAGGTGGCGGTGAGGAAGATAGGCCGGCGCCAGCGCTACTACTGTGGATCCTCCAGGGCGACTAAGGCCCATGTGGGACCCTGTAGTCTGTCATTTAAAGGTCTGCATTTGTATTCCCTGTCACATGGGAAAACAGACCAACACATGGAGGGCCAAGTTCACACTGCACGGCTCTCTGTATTTAGCCCTGTGATTGGCACACAGTGAGGGTGCCATAAATTCTTGGTGTCTTGCTGCTGTACTCATCTGTCACCAAGTGACAATGACCCTGACTCTCTTCTGGCCGCCACTACCCCTCTTCAACAGTTTCTGCCAATTCCCCTTCAACTGAGCAAGGATTTATTGAGCATGTGCAACAGGCCAGGCACTGAGGCCCCACCAGCGAGCAAGACATGATCTCTGCCCTCCCTCTAATGGGGAGCAGACAGGTCACCAGGCCCGGAGACAAATGGGACCTGCTGTGTACCAGGCACGGTGCTAAAGCCTCGCCTGCCATGGACTTCAGAGAGGAATCCTGAGGTGTGGTCATCCCTGCCTTGTCAGGGGCTCCCCGTGACTGGCTCATGGTGAGTCGGGTCCTGGGGCATGGAGGTAGAACCCAGCCCAGCTGCCGTGAGGGGCGGAGTCCATGGGGTCAATACAAGCCACACCCCCTGGCTTCACAGGATTCTCCCCCTTCCCCTGGAGAGAGCCCCAGGCACAGGCAGCCTTGCTCCAAGGCCTGGCCCCACCCAGGGAGTCCAGGCTGCTCCTGGGCCTTGTCCATGGGCATGCAGCTTCGTGCTCCGGCAGGATGGGCCTGCCCTCGGGTTCCCATCTGTGGAGGGCGCCAGGTGGACAGAGGTGGGGTGAGACGGGGAAGAGCTCACTGGAGCAGCTGCCCCAGGTGCGGCGCTGTGAGCCAATCTGGGTTCAAACATCAGGGGAGCCTCGGGCAGGCCTTGGGATGAGCCACACTTCAGGATTCCTCTCTGCAACATTGTGCCCACAGAACAGGGGGACCGTAACACTGTGGTCCTTATCGCAGTACACAGCAGGCATCTGATAAAGGATAGCTGCTGTTATCATCGGCATTTACAGTTTTTCCTTTGGCGTTCAACTTCCTGAATGCTTCCCAAGAAGCAGGATCGCGGCCAAGAGACTGTGAGGATAGACCTCCCGGTGTGGCCGGTCCCCGGGTCGGACTGAGAAGTCCTGTAGTGAAGGATGCCACTGCTGCTTAACCCAGCGTCTCCCAGACACCTGTGGCCATGGGGCCCTCTTGTCCCTGTCTTTTTCACAGGATTGTGACTCAAAGGAAGTGCTGAGGGAGGGGTCCCGCTTCACAGAACCCCGGATTTCCAAACGCTCCACCCTCCCTCTGCCAGCCACTGTTTCTGGAGCCCCAGAGCAGATAGGTGCTCTCGAGGTGACGCTCACAAGGTGACAGGGTGTTGTGGATGGTCCCTGTGCCTGAGCCACTGCAGGCCTGCTTCCACAGGGACTGCAGCTGGTGGCTACTCAGTCACCGCCACCTCATGCTGACCTGGATCAGGCCCTGTCCCTCGTCCATCACGTACCCGGTGTACATCTCAACGCTTGGTCAAAAATCCAGGTCCCTGAATACCGGCCTCGCACAGATCTGCAGCGGGGGCTGGCTTCGGGCGCTTTTCCATCTGAATTGCATAAGAAATCAGAAAGAGCCCTCAATGCGGGAGAATGCCAGGGAGTTGGGGAGGGGCGGGTCAGCTGTGGGCGCACAGGGCCTGATCCTGATGGCCTGTCCCCTGCACCATCAGGGCTTTAGAATCCTCGGCGCATGTCGGGATGAGGGGCCACCTCCTCACTCATGAGTTCCTACTGCCAGGCAGCCCCTGTGGGGTCCCCCCGCGCCCCTTCAGGGTTCTGTTTCTGTTCTTCACACCTGAATAACTCAAGCTTCCTTCAAGATACAAAGAACTCACACTACCAAGGAGGCCAGAAACGGCAGGAAGCAGCAGCCCAAGACAAACCCCCCTCAAGTTATTTGTGTGTGGTATACAACAGGCACTCAATAAATGATAGCTTCTATTACCATTAGCCTTTCCAACTTTTTGGGTGTGTGTGTGTGTGGTGGGGGGGGACTCAACTTCCTGAATGCCTCCCAGGAAAACAAGGAGCATGTTTTTCTCTATATCCTGGCGCATCACACGATCATAACTCAAGTTTCTGCCCCCAAACCTTCCAGTAAGATGACCTTCCATGGAGATGTGCCCCATGGGCACTGTGCCTGTGTCCCCTGGCCACTATCACCCCCAGGCTAGTGCAGGGAGCACCACAGGAGCTTCTCTTTGCTCTCTGCTCAGTCCCCTGCCCTGCTGATGCCCTGCTGTGCGTCCTCCTGGTCCTCTGGTCCCCAGCTGCTCCTGTCCCTTCCCGAACCTCAGCAGTTACCATCACCACCCACCTGCTCAGTGCCAGGCTCTGCAGTTATGTGCGGCAATCGTCCAGTTCACAAGGGCAGCAGGTGGCCCCGGGGTCCCAGCCCAGGGCTGCTGCGTAGCTCAGGTCATCCTCATGACCCCAACAGGTAAGTGATCACCATCCCCATTTTTCAGTGGAGAGAAGCGAGGACCAAAGGGGCGACCTGCCAGAGGTTGCTGGACCTGCCACGCCACCAGCTTCTCTGGGACAGCGCCTTGTGCTTCTGAGCAGTGGCCACTGACAGCCCCGCGGGCCTCTCCCGCCTTCTCCCTCTCCCCCCTTCTCCCTCTCCCCCCTTCTCCCTCTCCCCAGCCCGCTATCCCACAGGTGAGCACAGGGTCCTAGAGGTTCATCAGCCAATGGCAGGCGAGAAAATGGGCTCAAGGCCAGCCTTCAGGCTCCAGAGCCCTGGGTGCCGGGTCACTTCCTGGATGCCGAGTGAGCCGTGTTCTGGCCAGTCGCAGAGCTCCCTGTGGCTCTGCAGGGCAGCAGAGCCCCCGTCGTGTCTGGTGCAGCCACAGGGCTCCCCAGAGCACCCCACTCAGTGTTCTGGCTCAGCTCCAGGATGGCAGGCAGGACTCACCAGCACAGGAGCCCAACCTTGTGCCCTCCCGTCCGTCTTGCGCGGCAAGGAGTCCCCAGTCCCCAGCCTGCAAGACGAATCCTTGTCAACGCTCCTACCTGCACCTGCCGGAGCACCTGGCAGAGGCCTAGAGCACCCGAGGCAGCCTGGCCAGGTGTGTGGGGAGAAGTGGGCGGGGCCTACAGAGGAGGCGGGTGGTAACCCTCAGCTCCCATCGGGGGCACACAGTTAACTCTAGGGAAACTGGACACCTTTCAGAAGAGAGAAAATACAGCAAGACAGAAACCAAGGCCGATGAGAGAAGGTCACAGGTCAAGTGCTCAGGGGATCCCCGACCTCTTGGTCCCAAGGCACCACGGGAGCTGGCCCAGGGTTTGCCTGAGGACAGGGGTGCTTCAAGAGGACAAGTGGACAGTGGGCTTCTGATCTTTCTGGGGCTTGGCCTCACAATGAATGCCCTCTGAAGCAGGGTCTTCCAAGAGGGGACACAGATCCTGGGGTGCTGGGAGCCATTAGCCAAGTAGGTATGACAATTTCCTTGCCAGCGTACCCCATGTTGCAGTGACATTGAATGTAGGTGACCTTGCTCAAGGACCAGGGCGGATTAGGGTGTTCCCGGTTTAAGATAATCGTGTTTAGGGCGTTCCCAGTTTAGGTTCCAGGTTTAAGGTTTAAGATTATTCCTGCTGGGATTAGGGCGTATCCTGCTGCCTGAGTTCCCCTTGAGTTCTCACGGGATTCAGACAGTATATTTTGGGAGACAGAAGCCCAGTGAATAGTGATTTGGGCAGAGAACGTGGATTTGGGCAGAGAACGTGGATTTCCCCAGAACGTGTTTGTGAGTTCGGGAATAAAGAGTTGCTGTTTGAATCTACAAGCTGTGTGGTGGCTCGTGATTGTGTGCCCAGCCAGACTGCGGCATTTGTGCCCAGCCAGACTGTGGCACTGGGGGGTTGTGGCAGCTGTCCAAGGGACAGTAGTTTTAAGTCAATTCTCCGGACATCAACTTCCAAACAGACTCTTTCCTAAAATCAATGCACCGGGGCTGGTAGCAGGTGGAGGCCCACGCACTGGTCCCCCCCACACCCTCCTCTCACCCTTCTCCCCCTTAAAACCAAAGGGCATCCTTTCCCCACCCTAATCCTGCCACAGTGCCTCCCCGGGGAAAGCCTCAGGGCTCCAAGCACAGAGAAGACCCGGAATACCAGGGTTTGGAAGGTGACTGGATCTAATGACTGGGGACAATTCCATTTTGAATCCAATTCTCTGCTTTCACCCCCAATAAAGAAGGATCTAATAGAGCTGTTAGTGAAGAGACCGTTAAAATCCCGTCAGATCACAGACCCCTGCGTGATTTTTGGCATACATCTTAGAACAGAGTGACACTGCTGAGTGACACCACCGACAGAGCGCCAGCCATCGCCAGCTCCTGATTTACACACTCGAGCTTCCTAAGCACTTCCCCCTGCGAACACCAAAGACCAGGAATAAGAAGGCTGTCTTGTCTCATCCCAGCAACAAGAAATAGGAATTTGCAGATACAGGAGCCAAATGAGGAAGCAAGCAAGCCCCAGCCATTCCATCAGGAAGTGTGCTTTCGATAATTTTTTACTTTTACATTTGCTATTTATCTAAATTTGCTTTTGACGAATTGCATGCTAATAACAACTCAATCTGAAAAAAAATTGTGCTTTAAAATGCAGGGCTTTATGATCTCAGGGAGAAATTTCTACTTCAATTTATGTACCTCTTGTTGTGGTGGATGAGTGTGAAACAGTGATCAATAAAAGACTTTGAAGCATAAAAAAATATATTACATTAGGATAAAACCCCGGGGGGAAGTGGACTGGAAATAAGAGTTCAAGGAGAAAAAGGAAAGATATAAAACACTTGGCTGTTAAAGATGAGCTTGCTCTTATGTTTTTTAAGTGACGATGGCGGATATTCAAATAGCAATGCTGTTTCACGGATTCCCTTGGATACATTTAAAAGAGAGGTTCACAGCTTTATTTCCAAAGTGCCACCCTTTTTGAAATACAGTATTCCAGAAACCGTATCCTTTGCAATTACTTAAACTTTGGATAAAAACATTAGATGTCAACTCAAAAATGTGAAAGAACAAACACACTGCGTCTCAACACTCTTTTAGGAGGGAACAAAAAAATGTGTGACCCACTGGCTTTTTAGTTCCTATCATTCCCGGGTCACCCCCGAGGTGTCAAAGTCCTGATGCCTGCATCTGCCTTGCTTTCGGCTCTCCCTGAAGCCCTTCTCATGTCTACCACTCCTCTCTGCCCTAAGGTTCCCTCTGGAAAGACAGGCAGACATTACCCCACCCACCGACACTCAGGAGCTTAGGAACTCCCGTTCCTGGTCCCCTGACTTGTCCATGAACCCTCGGCATGTGGGGCCGTCCCCTGACGTGCAGTCCAGGAACCCTTTCCAACAGGGATCCTCCAACAGGTCCCTTCCCACTCGAGACCACCAGATGGAGAGTCGTTGCAGAGACCAGACGGGCCTGGAGGGCAGCCAGGACCCCTTCTTTCCGCATGGCGCTGCAAAGGGCTGCGCGCTGGTTCTGGCAGGCTTGGGCGCGAAGTCCTGCCAACAACCCATTGAAACAGGACACTAGCTGTCAGCTGGCTCTGCCAAGCAGGACCTGGCACCTCCACCGCCTGAGCTTGTCACAGGCCGAAACCCACGTGGCCGCGCCTGAGTGGCTGTCAAGCTCTCTGCTGCTCCTCCCAGAGCCCAGCCCAGCTGCCACCTTGGGACTGAGGCTCCCTCCTCTTCTGCACCCCCTCCCTGGGGGCTCAGAACTTGCCTAGAAACCCTGCAGATTCCTGACCCCCGACTCCATTCCTAGAGCCCACCCAGTGACCCCCCTCCTCACCCATCTCCCTTACACACTTACATCGGGGTACCAAACAGTTCCTCAGTCACCATGTCCTTCTTGTTACTGAACTGAAATCGCCTCCTGGTGACGTCCCTGTGCTGGCTGGGCCCACCCAGAACATGTCTGCTCCATCTCCCCCTCGGGCACACTGTCCCCAGCTCTTCCACAGGAATCCTCCGCACAGTTAACTCTCTGGAATAACCTGGCTGGTCCTTCATGAGAAGTGGGGCCCAGCTGAGCTGGATGGCTGGCTCCCTCTGTGGGCCCCTGCCCCACACCAGAAAGCCCAGACCCCTGGTCTCCATGCACCTGCAGCCCCCAGCCCCTCACCTGGCCTTCCTCAGGATTAAGGACCAACGGTCCCATGGCTCAGAGAACAGCCTTCACTGCTGATGGTACATTCTGACCATCATGAGCGGGGCTGGCGTCCCTACCTCTTGGAAGCAGGGAATGGTCCACAGCCGGTTGTCCTGTATAAACCCATTGCCTTGGGTTGGTCTGGGCTAAGGAGACTTCCACTCCAATTCTCCGTTTCTAGCTGACGGGCAGTGACTGCTGGGTGTGCCGGGTTGAGCAGGATTCTGAGGTACACTGCTGTGATCAGTTGGCAATACCATGATCATGGAATTGGACAGTGCCTGTGTTTATCACTCCTCAGAGAGGAGCTCCTGAGACCTCAAGCATGGTCCAGCCACGGCACAAGGTTGTCGGGCAGCTCTGCCTGGAGTCTGTCAAGTGGGCACGGGGTCTGTCAACTTGCTTTCTTTCACTTCTGGTTTTACCTGACCAAGCTGTCAAGTTCAGGATTATCTGTACATTTTTTGCTCAAAAAAAAAAAAAAAAAAAGCTGGGGGGTCTTGCCCCCAAACCCCACACCAGCTCCAATGGCTGTGATTTTTTTTTCAGGGCTAGGGATGAAACCCTACTGGACTACACCCCCAACCCCTTTTTATTTTTCATTTGAAACAGGGCCTTGCTAAATTGCCAGGTTGGCCTCAAACTTGTGATCCTCCTGCCTCAGCCTCCCAAGTGCTGGAATCACAGGCCTGAGCCACAGCGGCCGGCTGGCAGTGGTGTTCTTTTTAAGAGTGAGAAACACCCTTCTCAGCCCAAGGGCTTCCCTGGGAAGCATGGTGTGGAGGCAGCAGCTCTACAGATGTGGCAGCCAGACTCTGGGCACCGATGCCCCTGGCCCCTGCCCAAGGAGCTGCAACGCCAGCGCCCTGGACAATGTCGGTGCTGCTGGGAACACTGTTGGCCTGACGGCCTTCAAAGGCCCAGAGAGGACTTGGGAGGCTCCTTGTGGCGCAGCTCGGGTGACCAGGCAGGAACTCTCTTCCACTCAGCAACGAAGCCCGCCTCCGAGCCCCAGCACGGCTGGGTGAGCGAAGCCCTGACACACCCCGCCCAGTGCCTTGGGCCACATCAACTCCTCAGGCTGGGCCACCGGGGCACAGGGGTACCCTGTGGCATGAGCCCACTTAAAGACCTGGCTCTAACCAGCCCGCACCTCTCCAGGACCCCATGGGTGGTTCCCTCCTTGCTTGACTTTCAGAAGCGGGTGCAAGAGAGGTTCTATGAGGTGAGTGTCACCACCTTGCTATGTGACTCTGGGAAGGTCTCTTCCTTTCCACGGGCCTTCAGCTGCCTCTCTATAAAATGAGGGGGTCAAGGATGTTAAATGGATAGCACATGTTGCCCCACCACTACTCCTGGATCCAGGCCAGACATCAACCATGGATCATGCCACACCCTAAGTCCTCAACACAGAATTCCCAGCAGCAACCGCTTGGACTTGACCCACCAGGTGAGATCTATTTGCTACCTGGAGATGAGACAAGTTGAAAGGTTCCATTCTCACACTGACTTTTTCTTTTCTTTTTCTTTAATGCCTTTCTTTCCTAAAAGGCCAAGCCAGCCTCCTCCTCAGCTGCAACCAGGCCCCCCAGCAGGAAGCCTGCCCTGGGGGAGGTGAGATGAGCCCCCGGGGCCAGCAGGGAGCGCTCTGGCCCTGCTGTGGTACAGCCTCCAAAATGGTGGCTCCACCCCAACCTGCCCTTGGCCCCTACAACTTCTTCCAAACCTGGTGCCAAGACCAGGTTACTTAGATGCTTCACAAGATACTCAAGTACCGGAGGGAAGTCAAGGACTCGCCCAGTGCCAACTTTCCTCCCCAGCCGTACTTCCCCACATCACACTGGCTGACCTGTGAGGTCGGGGGCGGGAAGCAGGGACCGTGACTGTGCCGCACCTTGAAGAGCACTTTCCACTCTGCACAGCACCAACGTTACCGCCCTGGGCTGCTGACTAAGCACCCTGTCAAGCGCTGTGCCTAGGCTTCTTCTGGTTCTCACGTAACCTGGGGAATTTGCAGCTGTGGCACTGAGACACGGAGAGGGCGAGAAACTTGCCCGGGGCACCACACTCCCACGTCAGGGGCCCGATCCCCTCGATCCCCTCGCAGTCAGAGCAGCGGAGCTCATTCTCGGGCAACACCGTGCCCTCAGTGCCAGTTTGGATTCCCACACCCAGGAGGTGGCTGGGGCAGGAACTAGGCCTCATTTCACAGATGAGGACAGTGAGACAGACGGGCCAGGGGCCTCACTGCAGAGCAGCAGCTGAGATGGAAACCCCATCGTGGCTGGCACAAGGCTCCAGGACCCAGGGACTGTCCCTGTGCAAGCAGCGTCACAGGAAGGCTCCAACGCTTCCCTGGCTTGGATGCTCGAGGCTTCCCTGGGGGACCTGAGCCCCGGCTCCACTCCAAGACTCGGATTCTGCTGCCCTCACTGGGCATCTCCTGGTAAGCATGAGACAGCTGCTGGGTCTGGTGAGTCTCACGGCGCACACCAAGGAGAGCAAGGGCATGTCCTCTCCCCAGGAACAATTCCACCCAGGGGGAACTCAGTCCTTGACCCCGGGGGTGGGGGTGACTACTGACGGCAGGAGGGCAGGTCCAACCTCTGAAAAGGCTTGTCTCCTTTGGCACTAAACACCTGTTCCAGACACTCTATTCACCCAGATTCCGGCGGTGGAAGGATGACTGTACCCAGCTTCCTTGACGTTGGGTAGAACCATGTGATTAGCTCGAGCGGACTTAATACCGCTTCCTTTTGGCTACAGCCAACGATTGCCAGGGGAGCCCACCCAGGGCTTGTTTGGCCAGCAGAATTCCACATAAGGGCTGATTTCTGTCTGAGCCCAGAGGAAGGCAGAGCCCCCTGTGACCACATGAACATGCAGTGCAAATAAGAAATAAACTTTTGTGGAGTTTTAAGATGCCAAGATCTCTTTGTTTTAGGACGTTTTTTTACTGCAGCATAACCCAGCCCCATTCCAGCAGTTACAGTACCACTGTGAACATCACTTCCGGAAGCCAGGACCTTGCTAGGTACCATGGGCAGGAGTGGGGAGCAAGGGGACAGAAATCAGGCAGGTCCTGGAGCTCCAAACTTCAGGGGTTACCAGTCACCTGGCCGAGACAGACACAGTGAAGGCCTCTACTGTAAAGAGACAGTGGGAAGGTGTCCTGGTGAGGGCCAGGGTGGAAACAGACCTTCTGGCCAGTGGGATCAGGGGACGCTTCTGAAAGCAGATGGCACAGGTGTGGGGTGATTTGGGAAAAGGGCAAAGGCATTCCCAGGAGAGAGAAGAGCAGACTGCTCTGGAATGAGAGGTATGGAAAGATGGGCAGGACCTGGGGCTACGGAGGACCTGAGGCCATAGCTTCAACTCAGAGACAGAAGAGTCGGTCCTGAGGCTGAGCAGCAGGGAGCTGCATGGGTCTGCTTTGGCAAGGCCTCCCTGGAGCCAGCGTGCAGAGCAGGCGATGCCGGGCAGGGAGACACATAAGCACAGGTGTCAGAGGTGCCGCACGACCCAGGCAGGGCCGATCACAGCCCAAACAGCAGAGGGACGGTTGGGAAGGGGGCACAAGGCCAAGCCCAGTGGCTGGGGAGAAAAGGCCATAGGACCTGAGTGGAACCAGGTGGAACAGATACAGGGACCTTCACCATGAGGCCCTGAGGGCCACACAGGATGCACACCAGGCAGATGCAGGAACTTAGAAAAAGGCAGGCCAGACCAGCCAGGAAGGGCAGGCAGTGACAAAGGAGGCATGGCACTCCCAAAGACACAGCAAGCTCAGGAAACGTGGAGGGCGGCGCGGATGGAAACGGAAGCCCGGGGTCTGACGAGACACGGCGACAAAGTCAGGCTGAGGACCGTGGGCTTCGTTTCACAGAGCAGGGGTGGCAAACTTGTGGCCCTTGGAAAGACTCAGACCCACAAATATGTTCTGTTTGGCAGATTTCAAAAGTGCAATTTGTTGCCAACACTGAAAACCAAAAGAATTCACATCGCAATGCTCATTCCTGGCGTGCAATTTGTGAGAGACCTGGCGATGCTGAGCTCAGAGACCAGCTGAGGAGCAGCCACCCCACGTGCGTAGGGTGAGGGGCTCCAACTGGACCGGTCCCCGCCACCTGTCCTGCTGGCTCCACTCACACGAAACAAGCCTGTTTGTTGGGCTTGTGGGCAGCTGAGCTGTGAGCCTGGCAGTGGCGCAGGGAGCCCTGTGGGGGACCCCGGGAGAGGAAGGAAGAGAAAGCGCTGCTAGAAAGCTGGCTTCTACAGCTCCTCTAAGAGGGCAAGGTGTGGTGTCACTAATCTGATCCTGACCAGGAGTCTGCTCGGGCAGGACCTGAGCTGGGCACTGCCCCCAGGAACCGTGATCAAACCAAGGAGGGAGAAAGGCAGACAGCCAAGTGACCAGGGAGACTCCGGCCCCACACGGGCACAAGGGACTCAGGAGGCCCACAGAAGGTCCTGAGCCTTTGGCTGCCACAAGGGCCCGACAGGTGGGTAGGGTTTTGCAGACAGACGCAGAGGTGGGGCTCAGGAGCACAGGCTTGCCCGGGCTGCTGCGGGGGCTCTCAGCAGAGGACGGGGCAGAGGCCAGGCCCACTCCCCCACGATGCTAGCCCCACATTCCCGCCCTGGTCCTGGCCCTGAGCCTCTCGGCTGGGTGCTCACCAAGGGTCTGCTGGTTGCGGACACCGCCAATCACCACGCAGATCTCTGCAGGCACGTCGCCTGTCCCGTCCTTGCTGACCACCTTCTTCTCCTCCTTGGCCTCACCCTGCCAGATCACCTCCTGGATGTAGTCGTCGGGCAGCTCTGTCTTGACCTTCACCTCCGTCATCGTACCCTGTTCGGCACTCAGCGAGGCCTCAGCTGGCGCTGGCTCTGGACCCTCCACCTTGGTGCTCTTCTGGCTGCGCTTCAAGCGCTCCCTAGGAAAGAGGAGAGTCTGCTCAGAGTGGACACCATCCCTGCTCCCAGGCCCAGCTGGGAAGCCACCAGCACAGGCACCACAGAGACACGCAAGGCTGTGTATGGAGTGGACAGCAGGACCCCCCAGCCCACTTAGCTTCCCACACAGTCCGCGTGGCTGCCCCAAGGCTCCCAGGGGGGCCATGAAGCACAGTTTGAAAACTGCCAGGCTGATATGGCTCCAACTAATGTTACCGTTAGGAGAGCGGGAGTCTAAAGAGGTCCAGATGTGCCCAGTTGACTCCTGGCCCTCGTTGGTGCTGACCACAAGTGAGTTACCAGCGTCCTAGAAGGGTACCTGCAGCTGGCTGAAATCTTTTTCTCAAACCTCAACACGCACCTGCACCGGCTAGGGACCCTGATCACTGCGGGATGCTGCAGCAGGGCTGGGGCCTGGGGTTCTGCGTCTCTGACCAGCTCCCAGGTCAGCTGGTGCCTGCTCCTCAAAGCACGTGTTGAGCAGCCAGGGTTTAAGTGTCTGGCGCAGGCCAAGCGCGCGTGCTGCTCCCTTCCCTCCTTGGCAGGCCGCCTGGAGAGCTCTCCAAGCTCTTCCTGCTCCTGTTTTACAGATGGGGAAACTCCAGTCCCCAAAGGCTCCCGCGATGGCCATGTTGGGGAGCCAGCCCTCGGGCACGGAGGTGGCTCTTCCAACACCAGAGAACCTGGAGCAGCAGGGTCAGCACTGAGCAGGGCAGGGCATGCACTATGGAGTCTGTGTCACAGGAGGACACAGGGGTCAGGAGCAGAGTCGGGACGGCCCTGGGCCACCCACAAAAATAGTGGCAGGCCAGGCCCTGACACCCACCCCAGAGCCAATCTCAACGAGACTCTCCACATCACCCTGTGGCCCTGGGACCTTGTGTGGTAAGGAAGCTGAGGCGTGCACACGCTGGAAATCGTTACATTGCTGGCCTGGGCAGGCCGCCCTGGCCATGCTGGCCTCTCCAGTGCCCTGAAGGGCCTGGACTGTGACCTTTAAGGCTGGCTCAGGCAGAGCCCCCGGGCACACCTACTGAAGCACCCGGCGGTGGGCCTGGGCTCTGGGCCTGGATCTGCAGGGGCTTGCTGTGTGGCCGGGCCAGGACCCGTGTCCTCTCGGGGTCTCAGCCACTCCATCCGCCAGGGACCTGGGGCGTGTCATGCCTGCTGGCCCCAATCCAGCTGTCCCCCAGGTTGGACATAGTTGGGGTATTGAGCCAAGAGGGTAGGTGGGGGCAGCTAGCCAGGAGCAAGCAGAGGCCACCTGGAGGTGCTGTGGGTCACGGTGCCTGCCCCCATTCCTATGCCCTCGTCATCCCTAACGTGACTGTGTCTGGAAATCGGGTCCTTAGGAGGCAGCTGGGCTTAAGGAGGCCAAGAGGGTGGTGGCCTCGTGAAGGGGTTCAGTGGTGTTACCAAAGCCCGTGCTCTTCTCCACACAAGGACAGGGCAAAGGTGGCCACCTGCAAGCTAGGAAGACCCTCACCAGAACTGGAGCAAGCTGGGCCCTGACTCTCGGCCTCAAGCCTCCAGAATCTGGAAAAGAAACTGCTGTTTGGTGGAGCCGCAGGGTCTGTGCGCTCTGCTACGGCAGCCCGCGTGGGCCAACGGGCCTCAGGACAGCGGATGGAGGCCTGGACAGGGAGGCTGGTGACACCAGCCCTGGTGGGCACCGCCACTTCTTCTCTCACAGCTGTGCCAGCCATCGCATCTCCCAGCCTCAGTTTCCCCATCTGCAAACCGGAGCCACGGGAGTTGTCACGTGGGTTTTCATCAAGCACAGGGAGAGCACCACAGTGCCCGGCCTGTGACCGCTCCCACTGCCGTGAATGACAGGCCCTTAGGACCCTTCTCACCAGTGGGCGCAGAGGTGCTGCTCCCACCATGTAGCACGCCAGCACCAGACATTGTCCCGGCTTGGGCTCCTTCCACAGTAGGAAACGTAAGCCGATGGTCCACCCCTCAGAAGTCACTGGCTCATCTGTCTAGGGAACCCCCTGGCTCCCCGTGCCCCGGGGAGTGTCCTAACGCACAGACCCCTGCAGCAGACCAGCTCCTCTCTGCCTCACACTCCAGGAAGCCCAGGCCCTGGCTGGTGGGCTCACATGTCCAGTGGTGTCAGGGCGTGGGAGGTGGGACAGGCACCTGTCACAGGCATCCGGCGCTCAGCCTCAGAAGGGAGCCTCCCCACCTGCAGCCCTGCCAGCCCCCACGTCACCGACTTCTGAACTTTAGTATCCAGAACAGAGTGGAAACCCAGGGCATCTGAGCGAGGGGCAAGACGGGCGGTCCCCTGGCTGCTGCGCCTCCACAGGGGAGTGTGTGGCTGTGTGGCCGGGGCAGGACCCGTCTCCTCTCGGGGTCTCAGCCACTCCATCCGCCAGTGCTTCGCTGCCATCCTCGCAGGCAGAGAAGCCTTCGGCTCCGGGCAGCCAGCAGGTGTGAGAGGTCACAAGGAACCACCGAGGCTTCGGAGAAGGAGGCTATTCTGTTGCTGCAGCCGGTCAGCAACAGTAGGCAATGCCTGGGGCAGAGGCCCACCCCCGGAGGCAGGAGCAGAGGCCGGGGACGTTCCTGTGGAACGCAGGTGTCATGGAGTGGGATGGACCAGCACCAGGCTTGGAAGCTGGGTCAGCCCAGGGCTAATGCTTCCCTGGCGCCCACCATCCCTTGCTGTGGGGCAGGGAGAGAGGAGCTATGGTGTAAGTGCGACCCCAAAAGTCCCCGTGCTGCAGGTCTGGTCCCCAGCGTGGCCATGTAAGAGGCAGAGCCTAGTGGAGGTAACTGGGGTCACAGGTGCCACCCTCAGCAGGATGAGCATGTCCCACAGCGTGCGTCAGCTCCCACCAGAGTGGGCTGCTGGGCAACAGTGTCCCGCTCTCTACGCGCACCAGCTTCCTGTGTCACCATGACCGCTACCTCTTGAACACGTCTCCAGCATTGTGATGCCATCTACCCTGAGGTCTCTCCAGAATCCAGGGCAGCACCACACCCCTGAACCTTAGGAACTGCGGCTCAATAAACCTCTTTTTCCCTTCCTTCCTCCCTCTCTTTCTGTCTTTCACACCAGGCACTGAACCCAGGGGTTCTTTTCTACTGAGCCCCAGCCCCAGCGGTTTTCACTTTTTAATTTTGAGATGGAGTCTCACTAAATTGCTTAGGGCCTCACTGAGTTGCTGAGGCTGGCTTTGAACTTGCACTCCTCCTGCTTCAGCCAGCCTCCTAAGCTTCTGGGATTATAAACCTCTTTTCTTTATAAGGTATCTAGTCTTGAGTATTTTGTAATAGCAGCAGAAAACAGACTAATATAAATAGTGAGCGGAGGGTGCAAGGATAGGACCTTACACGGCATGGATTTTAGTGCACAGGCTGTGGATTCCGACCGACAGACATTCAAACCCAGGTTCTACCACTGTTGGGTAATGAGACAGAGGCCTGTGAGGGAGTGAGGACCTTGTCTAGACCTGTACATGCAGCAGAGACTGACATACTGATGGAGGAGCCAGCAATGCACTGTTTTTTTCAACATGAGAGAAACTGCTAGTGTTCCCACCACTAGCTGAGACCACATGGTGCTAACAGTCGGCCAGTCCTGCCTGTCCTGAGGTTCACTGGGCACAGAGACAAGACAGGAGCTGATGGAACAGCCTCCTCCTCAGAAGCCCGTCACCCCGGCTTCCTTCACTGCCCATGTGCTGAACCTGACAGACTCAGTGTCCCTCCCTGCTCCTGAGTCCTCACTGGTACCAGGACACTATGGTGGGGAAGGGGGAGCTGGATGTAACTCCCATCTGCCCACTCACATGCCCTGTGACCTTGGGCAAAGACTCCTCTCCAACCCTCAGTTTCCCTGTCGGTCACAGGGGACCACGACTCTCGCTGTGCAGGGGTGGGAGATGACGCCTGTGAGGAGCTCAGCCAGGGACCTGGCGTGAAGTGGATGTGCACAGACGGCAGGTGCCTGTACGACGATGGCTTAGTTCATGACGTCCTCCTTGCCTTTGGGAAGCCTTCGCAGCTTGGAGCCTGAGTTAGACTCCCTGTCTGAATGTCATGTCCACCTTGCACGCACAGGTGACGCTTACAGCTGTCCTCCCACAGCGTGCTAATGAATTCATCTCAGGGCACTGGTCACCTTTCTGACCTCCCTGTCTAGCTTCTAGCTCATCACCTCATTTTACTTCCTCTGCAGCCCTGGCCGCTCTCTGAAGATATCTTGTCCGTTTATGACTCACCAAGCCGTTCACACCTACGAGCAGGTCTTGGCAGTCTTATGTAGTGCTGCATTCCTAACATCCAGCAGGCACACAGTAGGTGCTCCATAAATGCTGTACTCAGTCAATGACCAAAAGAATGACCACCTCCTGATAAGATGGCACTGGGACTCAAGCCTCCTGTGCCTCCTGACGGTCCCTTGGGATGGAGCGGATCCTCAATGTGGGTTTGCAGAACTGAAGGACATCCATTTGCAACAGGCCTGGGTATGAATGCATCACTGGAGACCCTCGGCACAGGGCAGAGCTGGGACCTAAGCCCATGAGTCTGGATTCCCCACCCTCTGTCCCTCTGCAAACCTACCAGCCCCAGGAGTTGGGAGGTAGGAAGCAGGGCCCTGGCTCCGCCCGTGGGAGGCAGCCTCTCCTTGGCTCCTTCACCCTCACCCTGTACCCCAACACTCAGAGGCCATGCCGGGTGATACAGCTGCAGCCGTGTGACCAGCCTGACCCCTTACTCAGCCCCTCGAGGAAAGAAGCCGCCCTCCTTCACCCACAGGCACAACGGCTCACGACACCCCCAGCCCCAGCATCAAGGACACAGGCAACTTCCTTCTCCTCCCCCGACTTCTGCACTTTAGATTTACAAGCCCAACGATGCTTTTCTCGGATGCTCTGCATTTAATTAGGTGTCCTAATAACAATGGAATTGCAGAAGTACTTATATCACTTTGAATTAGTGGTGCAGCTCCTTCTAACTTCCTTAA